TTAGTTAATATTTCTTATACATGGGGGGGGGAGCACGCAGGAAGAGGACTTCACAGGGGAAAAAAAGGGAGACACATTATATTCCTTTCAACAAGGAGGAATTTAAATTAAAAAAAGTTAAATTAAAAATAGTTACGCGTATATTTCAATTTCTAAATTTTGACAAATGTGCCTAGTATATAGTAAAATATTAGCAGTGAAGAAAATTGGATGAAGGGTATACAGGAACTCTCTTTACTAGTTTTGAAGCTTTTCTGTAAAATTATCTCCCCTCCACACATACACCAAAAACTTATTTTTGTAAATTGATTTTAGCGGGGGGCGGGGGGGCTGGGAGGGGAGAAACATTGATTTGTTGTTTTACTTATTTATACATTCATTGATTGCTTTGTATATGTGCCTTGACCACAGGATTGAACCTGCAACCTTGGCATATCAGGACAAGGCTCTAACCAACTGAGCTACCTTGCCAGGGTACAAAACCTTATTTTATTTTTTAAAGGGTAAGAGTACCTTCTTTTTTTAAAAAAAAAAAAATGTCTTTAACGATTTTAGGGAGAAAGGAAGGGGAGGAATAGAGAGATAGAAACATTGACCTCTATTGGCTGCCTCCTGCATGCCCTGGGGATCGAGTCCATTGCCCTGGCCGAGAATCAAACTGTGACCTCTTGGTTCATGGGTCAATGCTCAACTACTGGGCTTATTAAAAAATAAAATTGATCTCCTATTAGACTGATGAGAACTCTAGTCAGAAATACCCCTTAGCCTTCAAATAAGTGATTGTTCTATCTTGGAAATTTTTCAAAAGATCATCTACTTATACAGGAAAAGAAAATTCACAGCCTCCCTTGGTATTGTCTTCTGGTATCTTGTAAGCTTCATATCAGGAAATGAGTTTCAAAAGCTAAATTAAATCCTTCCCATTTCAATTGATGTTGATTTCTTATTCATTCAACATTTTTTTTGTCTTTTCAGCTTCATAAATAGCAGCTGTTCATCATCACTCATTCAGTGTGTAATCATATACTTGCAGATCTAGTTTCCTATGAACAGAGCATCATATGGCTTTTTTGAATATTTTTAAATCAATCAGGAGGAATTTACTGAATGCCATGGAGGAAATAAATAGGGAAAATTAGACACTGTTCCTATCTTCAAAAAGCCTAATATTCTTCCAACATTAAAAAATGTCTCATGTAGTTAATAAATGTTTCCTGAATACCCACTATGTGGCAGGCACTGTTCTGGGAGCTGGGAATCCTTGATAATAAGCAAAACCAGACAGTTTCTTACTGTCATAGAGCTTACTGTCTAGTGGGAAAAACAATCAGGTTAGTAAATCTAAAATTACAATTGTAGTAAATACTATGAAGGGAAGCACGTGGTCAGGGCTGCTGCTGCCACCATTGTATCTTTATGCTATTTTTAAAAAGGTGTCCCCATAGACAGAACCAACCCAGAGTAGCAGAGCTTGGCAGGCAGGCTATGTCTTTGATGAATTAGCAAAAGGCAGCCCAGCTGGTGTGACTCATTGACTGAGCATCAAACCTATGAACCAGGAGGTCACAGCTCCATTCCTGGTAAGGGCACATGCCGGCTTGATTCCCAGTAGTGAGTGTGCAGGAGGCAGCCAGTCAAAGATTCTCTCTCATTGATGTTTCTATCTCTTTCTGCCTCTTCCTTCCTCTCTCTGAAAGTCAACAAAACCTTTTAAAAAAAGAAAAAGGCAGCCCAACCCTGGCTGGTGTGTCTAAGTGGTTAGAGTGTCGAGTGCACTGAAGGGTTACAGGTTCGATTTGGGTAGCAGATTCCATCCTGGCCCTGGTCATCGAGCTTACTGTCTAGTTGGGGAAACAAATAATCACACGAATAAAGATACTGGTCGGGCGCATGTGGAAGGCAACCAATCCATGTGTCTCTCTCATATCAATGTTTCTCTCTGTCTCACACACACTTTCTCTCTCTCTCCTACCCCGCTCCTTGCCTCCTTACCTCCCTTGGATTCTCTCTCTAAGAAAAAAAAAAAAAATCAATGGGAAAAGTATCCTCAGGCGAGAATTTAAAAAAAAAAAAAGAATGGCAACCCTTCTTCCAGGTTGACACAGTCCTGCTCCATGTGCAAAGCTTTATAAGTGAAGCACAAATTGAATTTCAGACTTATCACCTCAGCTAGAACCCTCCTTTAGATTAACAACCTGCATAAGCATACATAGTAGCCCTACAAAGGGTTCCATGGACACAGACAATAAAGTAAGATTTGGGATGGTTTTCCTTAGGGACAAGCAGAAGAATTAGAACTGAAAGAAGAATGGGAGTTAACTAGGTAGAAGGGAAGAAAGAAGAACATTCTAGGGAGCGGTAACAGCATGAGCAAAGGTCCTGGGGCAGGATAGAAATATGTATCATTGGGGAACTAAAAGCTTAGTGCTGGTCAAGGTATAAAAATTTCTAGGGGTTTGGTAACAGATAATAGGAATGTAGGTAGGGGAGAGCTTGGTAACATAATATTAGAAAAGTAGGTAGGGGGTCATATCATGTAAGATCTTGTAGATAGTTTTAAGATTGCTATGTGCCCTGGCCAGTGTGGCTCAGTTGGTTGCAGCATTGTCCGGTGCTCCAAAGGATAGTGGGTTCAATTCCTGGTCAGGGCACATACCCAGGTTTTGGGTTCCATCCCCAGGTGGGTGCATATAGGAGACAACTGATCAATGTTTCTCTCTTTCCCTTCCTCTCTCTCTAAAATCAATTTAAAAAATAATAAAAAGAATTAAATAAAGAAAAAGGAAAGGATTGCTATGTAAAAATACACCTGAAAAAAAACTTAAGCAGCAAGAATTAGAATGGCATTAATATATTTTATTTTAATTTTTTTTGTTTGTATTTCACTTATATAAAATGCACAGGTCTCAAGTATCCAGTTTGATACGTTTTTGACTTGGTCATACACTCATGTAATCTACATTCCATCAAGGTTTAGATAAAACTTTCCAACACTTTAGAAAGTTCCCTCATTCCTTTTTCCATTTAAATATCTCCCAACCCCAGGCAACCACTATTCAGGTTTTGAATAATTCATTGTGTGCTCTTTTGTCTCTGACTTCTTTTGCTCAGCATAATATTTTTGAGATTTAGAAAATGTTATTCACTTTTAAAGAAAAATACTGTCTAGATTAGTGGTTCTCAAAGTGTAACAGGCATAAGAATCATCTGAATAGCTCATTAAATCAGTTTGCTCAGCCCCATACCCACATATACTAAGTTGCATGTGCGTTTCTAACAAACTCAAGGTGATGCACATGCTGC